TGAGACGTCTCCACAGTGTGACGAGGCACTGTATCAAATGCAAGGATTGTTATTGCAAACGCGGTGTAAAGTCCTCGGAAAAACGTGCCATTTGTTTATTGTCGGGTGGGTTGGGTTGGTGTGGAGGTGGGGGGATGAGGTGGCACGAGTACAAGAGAAGAGGGGTGTAGCCGACTGGACGGAGCGGGGATGGGTGGTGGGTGGGTGGGGAGTTCTTTTGCGCCTGGACTGTGAAATGCCTGTCAATGTTATTGATGTCTCGCACATTTTTAAGCGTGTCTGCGTCCATCTCAAACAGTGCCATTGACAGCCTGCTGGGAGGAGGCATCATCACAGCCGTCCGCGGCCTGTTGAATTGGTTGCTGTCCATCTGTTAGCCGCTGGCTTGTCCCTCGGAATATTTCTGGTTTGCTTTTGTGACGTCTTGCTGACAGTCGCATACAAGAGCAGGTGCTCTTACACACAAGACAGTAAATATTGGGATTGTTTTGTTCTGTGCTCGCGCCTCCTGATAGGTGGGCCTGTGTTGGGTTCGGTCGCAGATAATAATAATAATAATAATAATAATCCTTGCATTTGATATCGCACCTTAACAACGTCTCAAAGCGAAACTTGCCTAAGTTTCGTCCTGTCTGGGAATCGAACCTGGGTCCTTTCGTTCGTGAGGCGAGTGCTCTAACCAATGCCCTACGGGATTCCGCATGTTAATCGTATTAAGACAAGTGTACAAACAGTCACCTTTCCCCGCCTGTCACTTGCTTGCTGCCGAGTTATGTGCCTGGCATTGACTGGCAGGAGTTAACCTGCCTTTTTATACTGGGTGCAACTGAGCCGTATAGTAACTCACTCAATGCCTCCCTTTCCATCCCTCGCCTCCCCTCGCACTCTCTTAAGTCACATCATGTCTACCTTCTCTTGAGGGTCAAAATTCCCCGTCGTCGTCATTTATAGCAACGTTCACAATCCCCAGCCTCGGAATAGGGGTGCATTTTCCCCATTGCAATTCTCAATGGTATCTCAGGCCTGTGACCTACACTTTGGGACAATTTGCAAAAACTGGCAAACCCTGTTGGGAGACGGTTAATTAGAGCACTGCCTCGCAAACGAGAGGACCTGGGTTCGATTCCCGGGCAGTGCGAAATGTTGGGCAAGTTTCCTTATTCCCCCCCCCCACCACTCCATACACACACACCCCTCTGTTCACTTAGCAGTAGGAACCCGGTTGTTAGTCGATTGTCGGATCGCTTTCCTGGGATAATAATCCCTTTAAAAAAATAAGAAGAAATCGGTCACTCAATCCACGACTGTTTGTGGGGACGCTGCTGTGTGCAATTGGCTGCAACGTTTCTCCCACAAAATGCACAGTCACTACACTTTACAGTGAAGCGCTTTGAGATGTCTCGAAAAGTGATGAGGCGCTGTGTCAAATGCGAGGCTTATTATTATTGCTATTATTATTATATAAGATAACAGCCCGGCTCAGGTACGGGCCGCAGCGAAGTGTGGCTTTACACCTCGATCCGTTTTACGAGCCGCGCTATAAGGTTGAGCGCCGTCCCACTGACCCACCGCCCCGCACTCCGTCTGGCTTGGCATTGGCTGCGGGGTGTTGCACCTGGGGCAAAGTGGACCCGCTCTCCACTGGGGTGGCTCCGGAGAAGTGTTGTGCTGAGCGACGCTTGTCCCCTTGTTAACGTGAGCCAAGAAGCCCCTTTGCCCCGCCATCGCGATGGAAACCGGCCGAGGGCAGCTCGTGGACCGGCGTGCGCAAGCGTGTAAGTGAGTGTGCGCGTAGCAAGCGGGATCCGTCACGCCCGCCCTCAGAGCGATGTAGGAGTTTGCCCAACGGGCACACAGTGCCCCACAATAAATAATAATAATAATAATAATAACAAGCTTTGCATTTGATACAGCGCCTCCTCACGGCTTCAAGACGTCTCAAAGCGCTTCGCGGGATACACCGTACAGTGAATTGACTTGTGCATTTTGTGGGCACAGAAACGTCACCAAGTCACCCTGTGACTCACTTTCGGGCGGTTTTGACCGTTCCAGGCGTGGGATCAGAATGTGAGGGTTATTACTGTATCGTTATAATGGGTCAACAAGGGAAAGGCTGACACCAAATCCCTTTGCTTGTGTGTTTGTGTGTGTAATTAGACAATTGTTTTCAATACTGTGCTTCTGGTACACATGTAACAAATGCCTCTATTACCTGACTTATTGCTGTCCAGAAATCTGTCTCCTCGAAGGGAGAGGTTGGGTGTTGTCTCGTTTATTTCCAGTTTAGCCAAAATGTGGAATGTCACTCACAGTCGCAGGATGCTAATCAACGCTTAAGTGGTAAATTACCTGAAGTAACGTTGCAATAAAATTTGTTACCACACAATACAATAGCTCAGCTTGCGTTCTCCGGCTCGCGGGTATTTGGAGAAAGGGCAGTTTGTTGGCTCAGTGAGGGAGGTGTTCCCAAGAATCTTGCCTGTGGTGTTTCTGTGAACAAAGCACAAGTCACTGGTGTGCTTTCTGGCGTTACTCCCCACTTAATAATAATAATAATACAGTAAACCACAGTTAACTCATCACTGCAAAGGAAAGGAGCTTGTAAACTTGTACGAGGAATGAGCGCTCGCAAAACACAGCAAACGTTGGGCCTGTGCCATCGCCTGTTGCTGGTAGCTGTGTAGAACAGCCCTGTGTGGAACATGGCTCGTACCCCAGGGAGCACCCACCAAGACCTTCCCCTGAGCTTAACCCCAGAAGGTAAACACTCTCCTTAGCTGTTAAAGGGGCAGAGTCTCCGTGGGAAAGTCCTCAACAATGTGCTACAGTTTTTGTGTGTTCACGATAGTAGGGAGGGAACGTATATGAAAGGGAAGACAAGATCCGATCTCATCCCTCCAGAACCACCAACCCTACCATTCCCCCCTTACCGTCACAGCATCGAGCTCCCAGTGTCCCAGCCTCAACCACCCTTTCCTGGCATCTCTTTTCCGGTCGTTAATTACGCTCTGGTGTCTGTCCTGAATCTGCCACTTTGCAACGCTTAAACCCGTGTCCTCTTGTTCTACTGTTTTGGTGCATCCGATATGATCCGAAAGATCATGATAATAATTCGGTCACTCAGTCCACGACTATTTGTGGGTCCTGCTGTGCGCAATTAGCTGCCGCATTTCGCCCACAAAATATACAGTCAATTCTCTTTACAGTATATTCTGTGAAGCGCTTTGAGACGTCTCGAAGACGTGATAAGGCGCTGTATCAAATACAAGGAATATTGTTATTATTACAGTATTGTTCTGGGTTTACTTTTTCTGTTTAAAATATTCCAGAACCTCAGTAAGGTCCCCTCTTTGAGCAGTGAGCAGACCCCCGGGTTGTCTAATCGTTGCTCGTAGCTCTTTCCCCGTGAGATCTCGATCGTGGAAACGACCTACATTGTGTTGTGTTGAAACAGATTACAACGCCCTCCTCTGTGACTGATCAGACACTAGCCCAGGCTGGTACTGTTTGCCAAACACTACCGCGAGTACAGCATCGCTTTAATCCAAATCCCACCAGGTATTGCGTGCTGCCACCCGAGGGCGTTTTCAACCAGTCACAAAGGGAAAAAGGTCTTCGGGGGGGTGGGTTGGGGGGGGGGTTAGGGGCGGGGGGGAGGGGCAGGTAGCCAGCAGGCAGCCAGCTCATAACAGAGCAGAAGCCCCTTGGCAATTCAGTCTTTGCTCTGAGAGTCACACAGTGTTTACCTCTTCGCTCGGTATCCTTTCAGTCACTTGGCTTCCAAACCTTAACCGGTGATTGACTTTAAACAGCAGGACGCGATTGGGACTTTTCACGACAACAACAATTTACATTTGCACAGCGCCTTTCACGTCGGGAGATGTCCCGAGGCGCTGGACAATCAGGGATTTTGAACCAAGCAGGGGGTCGGGATCCAGAGGGGTGGAGAGCAGGGGAGGGTAATCCATAAACGACTGGGTGGTAAACAATTAATATCAGATCTAATAATTATAATAATAGTAATAATCATCCTTGCGTGTTGTCGAGACGTCTCAAAGCGCTTTGCAGGATACACTGTAAAGTGGACCGACTGTGTATTTTGTGAGCGAAAAACAGCAGCCAGTGTCCCACAAACAGTCGTGGACCGAGTGACCCATTTTAATGGAGAGCTTGTTAATAAATATTAAATCTTTGCATTTGAGATGGCGCCTTTCGAATCTGATGCGAAGCATCACGTTTTGCACCCGTATGCTCTTAATGGCTGAGGTGACTTTTGCAGTAGAGTTAGTGTGTGCGAGCTCTGGCTGCGGAGTGAAGGGTGACCTTGGAGTTGGAACTTGGAGCCACACAGAGTTCACTGAATTTCAGTGACAAACTAGCCTTTGTTACAACCCGCTGGTATTTTCTTTGGCCCGTGGAACCCTATCACGCAGGGTTTAGCAGAGGGAGCCCAGGGTTCCAGTAGTTTTCCAGGGTGTAAATGGACCATTTATTAACCGGACTATGGCACTGTTCACCGCAGCAACTCTGACCCCACTCTCGATACTCGACAGTCGGTATGCGTCCAAATTGGCTGTCGCATTCGCCTACGAAACTCACAGTCACTACACTTCACAGTCATCCTTGCATTTGATATCGCGCCTCATCACGTCGTTGAGACGTCTCAAAGCGCTTCACAGAATATGTTGCAAAGTGGACTGTATATTTTGTTGGGCGAAATCCTTTGAAGAGCTTTGAGACATCCTCCTGATGTGAAGGGCGCTGGATCAAACTCGAGGATTATTATTGGACGGAGCTCCAGAGAACGGGAGGATAAGTGACTGAAGGTCGGTCACCAATGGTGGGTTAGAGGGAATGAGGAACAAGCCGTATAATCACATGGGAAGAGCAGAGAGTGTGGTCTGGGGATAATGATAATCTTTGTGATGTTTCGCCTTAAACCGGAGCGAATATTCTCTGCCGTCAGCTCAAAGTCTTCTCGTTCCCTTGTTTTTCAGATTCCTTATAGTTTTGGTGTGCCTCATCTTCAGTGTCATGTCTACCATCGATGACTACCGCTACTTTGCCAATCAAGCACTCGTCTGGATGGTAATAACTTTCTCACTTCACTCCGTGGCTGTTTGCGTGGGTGCTTTGCGCTCAAATTTGGAGTCCTATAGCTCAGTGGTTAGACCACTCGCCTCGCAAGCGAGAGACCTGGGTTAAATTCCCGGGCAGGGCGAAACGATGGGCAAGTTTCCTTACGCCACACGCCTCTGGTTACCCAGCATTAAGTAAGAACCCAGTTGTTAGTCGATTGGTGGATCGCTTTCCGGGGGTAATAATCCCTCCCCAAGAATAAATCAATAAAAATACTCATAATTTGGTCACTTCAATCCACGACTGTTTGTGGGGACACTGCTGTGCGCAATTGGCTGCCTTGTTTCTCCCACAAAAATATACAGTCAATTCACTTTACAGTGTGTCCTGTGAAGCGCTTTGAGACGTCTCGAAGATGTGATGAAGCGTTATATCAAATGCAAGGATTATTATTATTATTATTGTTATCAAATTGGCTCCAGTAGGCAGTAGGATGGGCAGTACATCATGTCGCCACCAGATGACAACATTGACCATGTTTCCCATCTAAGAAACTCACTTGACTGAACCTCAGAGACAATGATATCCTAATTGTGGCATTTATTTATAATTGCGTGTGTGTGTGGTGGGGGGGGGTGTCTCCTCCTCCCCCCACTCCCCAAAGTTTCACACCACATCCTTCCTCAGGCGAAGCCCATTACAGCACTCAGTGCAACTGGCTGGAAGGGGTTTGAAAGCAGTGCAGATTAACGCAGGGCTCAATCAAGGCAGCTGGAGTCTATTGTGTTGGAGCAAGGACGGTGCGTCCGTCCGAGAGAACGCGTGGGACTGAGGGGCACTGGGAGCTGAGCTGAGCTGCGAGTCGTGGCTGTGGTTCCCAGACCTATTGTTGTGACGAGTGCCTTATTGATCCCCACTGCTGCCCTGCCCTGCCCTGCCCTGGGCTGGGCTGGGTTGAGCTGAGGCTCAGGCTGTAGAGCGTCTGCCCAGCTGTCACTGGGGGATGCCAAGCTGGGCTTGAGGATAGGTTCCTGGGAACAGAGCGGGGCCTGTGGGTAACTCAGTGGCGATGGCGGTGGTGGCTCAGATTGCCAGGCCCTGCTCAGCGCTGCGAGTTCCCACGTCCGTTCCCCCACCCCCCGCCTCTGGGGAACAGATGCCGGGACCACAGAACAAGGGCGGACCTGCTGCTCCCTGTGTGAAGCTACACTGCAGAGCACAGTGGCTGAGCTGTGTGTCTCAGGAGCTGTGAGTGTGTGCGTGTGAGTGTGTGCGTGTGAGTGAGTCTGTGTGTGAGAGAGAGAGAGAATACGCTAATCACAACCACCCAGCACAGTCACACAAACCCCCAAACATGCTCTTATTTTAGGATATTTCCCGCCTGACTTAATCCTTGCATTTGATATAGCGCCTTATCATTGATGAATACTACTAAGTTATTATTATATGATTCGATATGGCAATTTATTATTTATTAATGCTAATGCATTATGATTGATATTATTATAAGAAGAATTTGGTCACTTCAATCCACGACTGTTTGTCACTCCACTTTACCTGGGAAGCGCTTTGAGACATCTCCCAAGACATGACAAGTCGTTGTATCAAATGCAAGGATTGTTATAATTATTATTATGTCTTCGAGACAACAACAACAAGATTAGATTTGTATAGCGCCTTTCACGTCAGGAGGACGTCCCAAAGCGCTAGACAGTGTACAGCATTTCAGGAAGGGGTCAGGAAGGGAGAAGGGAGAAAGTGGGGTGGCCGATGGCATGGTCGAAGAGGAGGGTTTTGAGGCGGGATTTGAAAGAGGCTAAGGAGGGGGCGAGGCGGACTGATTGGAATTCCAAGGTTGGGGGCAAGTGGCTGAAGGCTCTCCCGCAATGATGGGTTGGGGGACGTGGAGCAGGTCAGAGCCGGCTGAGCGGAGGGAACGGGCGGGTTGGTAGGGGGTTAGGAGGTCGCAGAGGTAGGGTGGGGCGAGGCCATGGAGGGCTTTGTAGGTGAGGACCAAGATCTTGAACTGGATCCTCTGAAGAATAGGGAGCCAGTGGAGTCGGGCGAGAATCTGGGAGATGGAGTCACGGAGTTTGGTGCGGGAGAGAACACGGGCTACAGAATTCTGGATTATCTGCAGCCTGTGGAGGGAGGAGTTGGGAAGGCTGACAAGCAGGGCTTTTGCATAGTCGAGCCTGGAGGTGATGAAGGCATGAACAAGAGTTTCAGCGCCTGAGAGGTGAGGTAGTGGCGGAGTCGGAAAATGTTACGGAGGTGAGGGAAGGCAGAGCGGGTCATGGCTTGGACGTGGGGAAGAAAAGACAGTTGAGGGTCGAACGAGACACCGAGGTTCCTGACTGGCTTTGGTGAGTTGTAGTGTGCAACCATGGAGGTTGATGCTGCCAGAGACTGAGGTGCTGAATTGACTATATTTTGTGCCTGAAAGGCGGCGGCCAAGCACTGCATCGTTGGAGGTACCGTCCTTTTAGATGTGACGATAAACTGAGCTCCCAGTCTGCGTTTGATCGGGTGGATGTTAAGGATCCCGCGGCGCTATCGGAAAAGAGAAGAGAGTTTCTCTCTTTCTTTCCTGGCCAAAATTCCCCCCCACACTCCCCCCCCCCCCCCCCCGCCCACCAGATAAAACCGATCACTCACTTTTGTGGCTGTTTGTGGGACATCTCTGTGCGCAAATTGGGTGCAGAGTTCGCCAATAAAATACGCAGTCACTACACTTTCAAGATAGGGGTTATACTAAATGCAAGATTGTCATTATTATTATTATAAATAATACAATGCTCAGGTGTTTTTAACACAGTCTAAGGTTTTTAACTCTTAAGGCGTCAGGAACTTTCGATTATAATCCAATGACCAAATTCCTCTTCCTGAGTGTATTGTGAGCTGCAGTACCGCTGAGCAACACCAGGAGGCAGCGCTGAGCTGTTTGCTGACACTGCGGTAGCAGCGCCGCCACCTGCACAGAATTGGTACTGCAGCCCCGGTCCCATTATCTCCTCAATCCATCCTCTCCCAACAACAACAACAACAACAACAATCACATGTGGACAGTCTGGAGAGTCAGGGATCCGCACCCGAGCTGGTGGTTGGGATCAGGAGGGGTGGAGGGCGGGGTGGGCGGGGGTAGGAGGGAGACCGAAGGCAAGGTCGAAGAGGAGGGTCTTGAGATGGGTTTTGGGATGGAGTTCCCAAGGGTGGGGGCAGAGAGGCTGAAGGCCCACCCGCCAATGGTGGGGCGGACGAGGCAGGGAACGTGAAGCAGGCCGGAGCCCACTGAGCGGAGGGAGCGGACAGGTTGGCCGGGCTTATAATAATAATAATAATAATAATAATAATCCTTGCATTTGATATAGCGCTTTTCACGTCGGGAGGATGTCCCAAAGCGCTTCATAGAACACACTGTAAAGTGAGTTGACTGTATATTTGTGGGCGAACGCGGCAGCCAATTGCGCACAGCAATGTCCCACAAACAGTCGTAGATTGAAAATGACCAATTTATTATTGTTTTTGGTTTTGGAGGGATTATTATTAGGCTCTGTGTGGAGTAAGGAAACTTGCCCAAGGTTTCGCCCTGACCTGCCGGGGATTGAACTCGGGTCTCTCACTTGCAAAGCGAGTGCTCTAACCACTGAGCTACAGGACTCCACGAGTTAGGGTTAGGAGTGTCACAGAGATCGGGGGAAGCAAGACTTTGGAGGGCTGTGAAGGTGAGGACCAGGATCTTGAACTGTACCCTCTGAACAACAACCACAACTTGGGTTGAGGGCAACAATAGCAATATTCGTTGCATTTGATACAGCGCCTTATCACGTCGTTGAGAGGTCTCCAAGCGCTTCACAGAACATACTGTAGAGTGTAGTGACTATTATTTTGTGAGCGAAATAAGATAGGAGTAAAATTTGGAATCATGGAACTGACACAGACAGAAAACGTAGTGAATGCTTCGCATCGCAATATGTGTTTGTACAGGATGTCACTGTGGGTGGGGGGGGGGGGGGGAGCGAGCGGGAGAGTGAGAGAGAGAGAGAGAGAGAGAGAGAGAGAAAAAGAAAGATGGGGCGGTGGGGGGAAAGCGAGCAGGAGAGAGAGAGAGAGAGAGAGGTGGGAGGGAGTGGGAAGCTCTTCCTGTAGTAATGAGTCGGTCACACTTGGCAGCTCATTAGCACTGCGCTGGGAGGAAAGAGCCACTGAAAAGGCTTCCTGAATGTTCCTCGCGGCGACAATTCTGTCACTCTGCCCGTGGCCTTTCACACCGCGGGTGGAAATGGCTGTTCGAACTATGAAATGAAGACACTTCACTCAGGCTCGAGCCCTCGCCAGCCCACCTCCCTCCCTCCCTCCCTCTCCCCCTCAGCCCCGCAGAATGTACCGCTTTACTTTTGATTCCCCTTTCCGCCCCCACCCAACCCCCGACCCACACATAGAAACAGGAGGAGGCCATTCAGTCCCTCGAGCCCGTCCAGCCATTCTATAAGATCATGGCTGATCTGTACCTCGAGTCCCAACGACCCGCCCTCGCCCGGCTTGAGCCATTGCCTGTTGTCGTAAGCAAATAATTTGGTTGTTTGTGGGACGCTGCTGTGCGCAGTTGGCTGCCTTGTTTTGCCCACAAAATTCACAGTCAATTCACTTTACAGCATATTCTGTGAAGCGCTTTGAGACGTCTCGAAGACGTGATAAGGCACAAGAATTATTCTTATTATATGTGGGGTCGCAGATGCATTGTAGCTGCTCCACTGTCAGAAAGGTGAGCAGAGACTGACTTGACCACAACTGAAACAACTTGCTTTTACATAGCAGTTTTGGATTGCTTCCCAGACACAGACAGAAAGAGAGAGACACACACATAAAGAGCGACAGACACACACACACACACGTAAAGAGAGAGAGACACACACATAAAGAAAGACACACACATGTAAAGAGAGAGAGAGACACACACATAAAGAAAGACACACACATGTAAAGAGAGAGAGACACACACACATAAA